GAAGAGAGTGTTCTCCACTTTAAGGAGGTGTTTTCTTCCTATAAATTTTCAGGCTTTTTCTGATCACGTGCTGAGACTTCTGGGATCAGGCTCAGATGGTTTTGTCAAGATTACTTTGGACTTTCTAGTTAGCTATAAAGGAAGCTTGCTAGTTGGTTGGAAAATTTCTAAACTTCTTATTGACCATAAAATTTTAGGTTTCCTTGAAAATCTAAGTCTCTTAAAATAATCAATTTACTAATCAAACTACATAGTAGGTTTCTGTAAATAATATTCCTTATCAAATTTCTAGTAAGAATCTAAGAACAAATAAGCTGCCAAGTTAAGATCTTAATTTGCCTCTTCTGCTGTCCTTCTCGTGGCCCATGTATATCTCATGGCCCATGTTCTATCTTTCTTAGGACCAGGCCTCATCCGTGAGGTCAAACAGAAACTAGGACTCCGTGAAGCAATTTGAGTTTTCTATGCTTGTCTTTAAAAATGGTTCCAATCTTGGGTTCTAGAGGTTTTAAAATGATTAAAATGGGATGCTTATTAGAACATGTAAGGACTTTAACTTCCATCTCTCTTATTGGAAACCTCCTTGATTAAAAACAAAAACAAAAACAAAAACAAAAAAAAAAACAACAGAACTTAGATGGCTATATCAACTTAACTTGAAAACTTAATGTAATTGTTTTAGGAATTAGACTTTCTTTGTATTGAAAGGGATATAGTTTTGGTGAAACTGTCTACCCATCCAATATCTCTTCTAGGAATTTAAAGGAATATGTGGCCTTAGAAAACTGATAGGGAATTTTATGCCCCACTTTCTTTAGAACCTAAGGGGCATTCTTACAAATATAACTTGAGAAATGTTTTCTTATCTGAAGGAGTTAGTTAGAAAAGATATTAAAAAGCAAATTAATAATTATTGTCAGTGTTGTCAGAAATATTGGTAAAATAACTATCTCTAAAAATTAGTGCAAATGGCCAAATTCTAAATGAAAGAGATCTCTGTGTCTATGTCTTTGCCTTTGTGTTTTTTTGTCTCTGGAGGGTTACTGTGTTAAAAATCATTTTAAATGGCGCCTATATAAATTCTAATAGAAAAGAACCCAAATTTTGAGATCGCGATCTAAAATTTTTGGTGAACAAAAACTAGTTCAAAATGTAATGGTTTAATTAAAGCACATATGTCTTAGATTTATAATGTTGGGAGTTAAAAGTTTTATTGTGTTAAATGTGTTTTAAAAAATTTGGAGTGGTCAAAAAAAAAAGAGAAAAAAAGAAAAAATATTGACCTGGTCTATGTTAACAGAGATAAGTGTGATTTTGTTTATAGCTGGACTTCTTTTTGATAAAATTCTCATCTAAAAAGACTGGCCCACTATTTCTTTACCTTGAAAGAAATACCTTTGTTCCCCAGGTAAGCAACTTAATTGATTTTTCCTTCCCTTGTCCTAGCCAAGGAAAAAAAAAGAAAAACCTCTGGTATATAAATTTGTTTCCTTTATAACTCTGCAATTTGAACTTCGTATCCTAAGAAAAACTAGAGCTACAGTTGGTATCTCTGTTCTTCTTATCATTATTTAAATGGTGGTATATTTTTCCTATAAAACTAAGGATTTACTAAGTTTAATAACGAAAGTTTGTTGACCGCTTGATGAGCTTTTGGTGTATTTTTGCTTCTTATAGTAGGAAAACAAAACTTTATTGTTATCATCCAGAAAAAAATAAAACATGTGTTTATGTATGAGTTATCCAGTACAAAGGAATAATAGCATAACAGCTCTAACAATGTCTTAAAGTAAAAAATGTGAGGCTTGCCTGTTAGGTGAAGTTTTGTTGGGACAAGGCCTCAGAGTGGACTAAAAGTTTCAGGGAGTGACTGATGGACTTTCTCTGGCCAGGCGCCTGACTTGTGTGGCCCAGATGACCAGATGACCTCTTGGGAGTCTCCAGCTTCTGTACTCCCTGCTTGCTTTAAAGTGCGATGAATGTGCCTCTGCTGGGGCAATGGATGCTCTATTGCCTAATTGCTGGGGGCTTGGACTTTGGAAAAAGATCTCTGGGCCTGTGGGCATAAATAAAGACAAAAGTCTTCTATAACAGTCTTACAATCTAAAAATTAAAAACTAAAATGTTGTAACTCTAAATGCAAATAAAGCGAGATTGTGTTAAGATATGTATGTAAAAAATATGCTAAAGGTCTGAAAAATTTAGTGTCAAAACAAAATAGCTATCTTGAAAAAAAAAAGGTGTTAAAGCTTTGCAGATCTGAGAGAGGTATCTTAGAAAAATGCTATGTGCTAGAATGACTTGCTTTAGGAATATTCAAATTTATTATCAGTGGTGTACTTACTTAAAACCAAAATTTAATTTCTTTTCCATCTGCAGTAAAGGCTCAAATATTCTTAAACTGCTTTTACTAGTTCTTGATGACAAATTAAAAACTGTTTAGGTAATCTGAAATCTTGGTTCTCTTTTACCCTTGGACTTGGTAAACTGAAAAATATAGTCCTGTCAGCATTGTTGAGCACTGTGAAAATATATCTACTTTTAAAAACCTCTAGTTATCACTCTGGGTACCTTAGTGTTGTTTTATAAAAATCTGTATATATTATTAAGCCTGTGAAAAACTTTTCTTGGAGTCAAATTTCAGAAATGGTAAAGTTTTTTTTTGAATCAAGTAAAATTATTTGATTCGTCTTAGGACTCTTAATAAATTATTTTCCTTATAGCAAAATGCTAAAACACATTGGACCAATCTAGAAATGTTAAAACTTCATAAAAATTGTCATTGAGGGAAAAAGTTATACCTTTTCAGCATATATAAAATTGATTAAAGTGTTCTAAAATATGTGCGATTTTTAAAATCTAGTATGTTCTGGTATAATATTATTGGATGGTTCTGATTATACTGAAATATATATGTGTATGTGTGTCACAAAATTGAGCAAACATCCTTGTCTTTTACCTTAAGCCGTGATTTTAGGTATGGTCATTTTCGAGTTTTTGTTCTTTCTAAAGTTTATTTGCTGAGCTTTGTCTTTAAAAAAACTCACAAAAAGAGACTGACAATATAGATATGTTTTGGAACTGAAAAGACCTACCAAGCCTATAAAAATTTGATTTATGAAAATTACCAACAGAAGATGGAGACTTAATATATGGAAAGTACACTGAGGAAGATTTGAATAATATTTCATGACTTTTAAAAAAAAATTAGTTTTTAATGTTTTGGTTTTTTGGGTCTCCAGAAACCTTGTCTTTAAGCTGGGCTATGATCTAAACAATGACAATTTGTATCTTTTTATGAACAAACTGAAGCATTTGCTTTTCTCTTGTCTCATCCCAAAAATTTATAGGCAATATTTGTACTTCTCAGGACAATGTCTATCTTTGCATAATCTCAATAGGGAATTTTATTTATTTCTCCTTAACCTGGTAAATTAAACATGTTTTGTTAAAAGGCTTTGATTGAAATTCTTCTGGGAATAAACCGTGCTGAGCTGAGAAGAGCGAGCCAAGAAGAGCCTGTCACCTTGCTTACTGGGTTCCAGAGACCTCCATAAAAAATGAGGAAGCTGCCTCCATGGACATGGACAGGACTGAGGAAAACCCTGGAAAAAGTCCTGGGAACCTTGAGAAGAGGAATTCTCAGGTGAAGATTGGTGAGACTGTGACTTTGATAAAGCCAGCATGGACTGGATGTTAAAAAGCTCACGCTAAGGCCTGTGGAATTTTCAACAAAGCCAACAACACTCTACTTGTTTACTCTGCCCAATGAGTTTATGCAAATATAGGGAAAATTGTTAAAATTAGATTTGGTTTACTATTTTACAGAATTGGGATGAGGGTAGAGAAAAATTATGTCTCCGTAACTATATTATTCTCCGGTCCTCTCCAGTGAGGGCTATAGCCTTAATGTCATCATCTTGAGGAAGAGAAAAAGTAATCCCTCTTACATTTAGGACTACGCTGTGTTGTATATCTTGTCGCTGCCACACCAGCACCAAGACCTTAACATCATGTCGGGGACTATGGCACCAATAAGTGCAGGCCTTCCATAGTAAACCCCCCACCACGACGACCCTGTTCAGCAGGAAGCAGCCAGATGACACGACGCCCCTTTTCCCATAGAAATGGAAGGTCATAACTGAGAGTGGGGATTATGATACAGTTAACAAGTTTGTCTTTCCCCCATTTTTTGCAATTCCCCTTATCTAGCATTAATGGGATTGATGACTTGTCTTTCCCATTTGTTGCAGCTTCCCCTCCCCTTGGGAAGAAAAAAAAAAAGCTGGCGCCCACCGGTTTCCCTGTAGACCCTTCCCCCTCTTCCCCCTCACCCTAAGGAAAACAAGTTGGCCATCACCCCTCTCTGTGCCTTGACACCTTCCCCTTCCCTTAAGATGAATGAGCTGACACCCATCCATCTCCCTGTTGAGCTGGCGCCCACTTGTCTCTGTGCGGACCCCTTCCCCCTCCCCTTCGCGGACGCCTACCCATCTCCCCCTGTATAAATACCCCTGCCCGCTGCCAAAGAGCAGGACGGTGGTTTTTCGGACAAGAGTCTGCCTCCCTCCTCATTTGTCGACAAATAAAACCGCTTTCCTTTTCCTCAAACTTAGTTTCCTTTTATTGGCTGAGGGAAACTGAGGCCGGCATTTGGTAACACGGGTCCCAGGGCAGCCCCATCCACTCCCCTTTTCCATTCAGCTCCCACACTTTCTGGGCAAGGAAGAGGGTTTGGGTTTTAAACTTAGCATCCAGGACACTTCACTGTCCCCCAGCCCCTAAGTTGGCAGGCTCTGCCCTGTAGCACCCCCATAAGAACCCACGGAGTCCCTGAAGGCCGGTGCCCCCTGGCGCAGGGCAGGCCCCTCCCCCCCTTTTTGCCCAGGACATAGGAAGCACAGGGAGGGTCCAGCTCCAGAAGCTGGGGTGCTGTGGGGAGTTTTGGAGGCATCAGGACAGCCACTCCCCTCTCTGGGCAGCAGAAGCCCCGGGAATGCTCACTCACTCTCCACAGAGAGACTCAGGGAGGCCTCCTGGGAGCCCAGAGGGTTCTGAGCGCGGCAGAGGAGTTTCCCACAGTCGTCCAGGTGCACCCTGGCCTGCTCCAGCTCCAGGGTCTGGGGGTGCTCCCACGCGCCTCCTACACCCATGGGGTGTCGGCTTGGAGAGGACTTCACGGTCTGGGTCCCCCATATCCAGGTTATCCTGGCGGGAGGACTGCTGTGGACCACACAGGCCAGGCGCAGGGACTGGCCCTCCTGTACCCGGAGAGAGGAGCCGTGGCCCAGGGCTTCAGGTCCTGAGAGAGAGAAAGTCAAGTCCAGGCTCTCACTCAGGGTCACCCTGTGGGGTTTGATCACCCCCTCTATGGCATTGTGTTCTGCAGCCCCTGCTGACTGAAGCCAATTTTATGGTCATTATTTTGAAAAATAAGTTATAGCAGGAGAGAAATGCTAAAGAGGAGGACAGATCATAAGGAGCATGAGGGCCGAATTGGGGAGGAGGATGTAGGCCTGGAACTAGGGACAAGCACATCATCCGACAAGGGACAGAGCATAGGACACCCCAGGGAGCAGGGTCAGCACAGGGGAGCCCATGTGTGAGCTGAAGAGCCCATGGGGGTTCCCACCTCTGCTACCCCCTCCTGACAAAGACCTGTCTCCCATGTGTGTTGTCAGACCCCAGCTCTGATTTGAGGGTGGGACAGACCCCACTTCCCCACATCCCAGAAATGGAACCTCACTCCGTACCTGAACCTTCTTCCCTGATCACCTGGATGGTCAGGTTCTGGGGCGCACCTGGACAGACAGAATTGTTCTCCGTCAGCTGGCCTTCCCCCAGGAGCATGAGACATGGAGGATACAGCCAGGGGCCTCTTTCCCTCCTCCCGGCAGGATCTGCGGGGCCCAGACCCCAGACCCCGTGTCTTCCCTTCCTACATCTGCTGCCCTGGGGACCCGTCAGGCCGGGCGTCCGGGCCCCACACTCACAGCCCACGCTGAGCCGGACGGTGGTCTCTGTGCTCACGTTCACTGCGGGGAAGGTCACCCGGCAGGTGAGGCTGGAGCCGTGGTGCTCGGGCCCCGGGCTGAGGGTGAGCACCGGGGAGTCGGTGCTCGTGGCACTGAGGACGACCCCCCTCCAGGAAAAGGCAGGGGGTGTCCTCCTGCCACAGGCCCAGGGCGCTGCACAGGTGATGTTCCTGGGCCGGCCAGGCTGGAGAGGCCCCTGGAGGTGGATGTCCGGCCTGTGAGTCAGTGCTGGGGGGACAGACACAGGCTGGAGCAGGACCTGAGTGTCCCCAGGGGCAGCCTGTGACAGGCCACCCGCCTCCGCCCACCAGGGTCCTTTCCCTGCAGATCTTTGGTCCCTCACAAGATGAAGGCATGGGTCCCCTCCCAGCCTCGCCCGGGACGCTCATGTCCGTCCCGTGTGTTCCTCCTGCACCCGGCCCTTACCTGTCACAGTTACAGAAAGCTGCTGATTCATGTAACTCATTTTCACAGAACCCCCTCTCTCCACCCTGAAGTAGTAGGTCCCCGTGTCCTCTCTCCGTGCATCTCTGATGTCCAGGGAACAGCTGTAGTTCCGGGGGTCCCCCAGCAGGTGGAAGCGACCCCGGGTCTCCTTCTGCACCTCATGACTTGGGTTGTTTGTGGCCACTGGAACATGCTGTGTACCCTGAGGCCCTCCTTTGGCCCTGAATCAGTAGCCATAGGCTGGGCTGTGCTCAGTGTAACCTTCCTTGGGGTAGGAGACTTCGCAGGGCACGAGGACGCACTGGCCCTCCTGCACCGTCACCCGCTCCTGCAGGCGCAACCAGAATCTCTGATCCTGAGCCAGGGCCCCTGTGGGGAGATGAGGGTCAGTGCAGCCCCCACCCGGGGCCCTCCCCTCCTCCACTCACCTGCCCACAGCAGGGCAGCAGCAGCGGTGGCAGCATCGCGGGGAGTGGCGGATCTGGGGGCACAGGCTGAGGAAGCCCCGATGGACACAAGATGGGGCGGTCAAAATGAGCTGACCACAGGGAGGAGCTTCCCACACTGTGCGCCAGGCCAGGCCTGCGTAGACACTTCTCCTCCCAGGTCACGGAGGGCTGGTGGGGCAGGAGGACCCGCCTGCAGCTCTCAGCTCCCTGCACAGCGGGACACAGGCCCTGTAGGGGTCCCCAGGGGCCACCCCCTGGTGTGGGCAGAAGGGGGGCACCTGCAGGCGTTAGAGATGGTGGGGTGCGGAGGAGGGAGGAGGTGGTGATAAATGACCCGGCCTTGGGGGGCATCTGCTCCTTCTGTGAGCGAACTCCGGCCTCCATTTCCCTCAGCCAGTAAAAGGAAACGGACTTTGAGGAAAGGGAAGTGGTTAAATTTGTGGACAGAGGAGGAGGCAGCAGCCTCATGTCTGAGAGACAGCCGTCCTGCTCCTGGGCAGGACGCAGGGTTTTTATACAAAGGGAAAAGGGGGGATGGGCGAGGGTGTGCAAAGCGAGGGGGACGGGGTCAGCAGAGACAGGGGAGCCCCAGCTCGTTTTTTCTTCTCTCAGGAAGGGGGACGGGGTCTGCAGGAGGGACCAGCTTGCTTCACACCCTCTTCCTTGAGATGCAGGAGGCTTCTTACCTGCAGACAGCCCTGCCAGACAAGGGGAAATTGCAAGCAATGGGGAAAAGACAAATTGTTCACGCCTGTTTAACAGACGGGTTTTTTTATAACTGTGTCACTTTCAGGAGAGGGGGCGGCTCACCTCTGTGTGTGAGAAGGTCCCTGATGCCCGCCGGAGGGGCTGAGGCCTTTGCAGCTGCTGTGGCTTCAGATGGGAAGAGGTTGTCCAGGCAGCGCCCGTAGGACCCGACTGCTCTGTGAGCTCCAAGGTGGTGCCCAGAGTGGCGGGCCGGAGAGGACAGGGCCTGGATTCTACGGGGACATGGTGGTCCTGGGGCCTCCTGACCTGGGTGCTCTGCCCCAGGACCCTGGTGTGACTGGCCGTCCAGGTCTGAGACTCAGTACTCATCATCATCATCACCATCATCATCATCATCACAGCATGATAACGGGGACGCGGCTCTGGGGTCAGGAGGGCCTGGCCCTTGTCCCTGCAGGCCTCAGTGGCCTCGGCTGTCACATAGAGGATCCCAGTTCTCCCCTGGCTGGGGAGAGTCCAACATGAGGGTGGAGTGCCTTGGCGAGGGCAGGGCCCGCGGGCGGGACGCGCGAGCACACCCAGCGCCCCCTGGCCTGGGGGAACAGCGCTGGCGTAGCAGAGGCCCGCGTAAAGCGTTGCATTTTTGGGGAAAATGCACGCGCACGCGCACACACCCTCTTCCAATCCCTCCGTAGTCACAGTGAGCCGGGGCTGGGGCGGCTCCCTGCGGGCATCTGTGCAGGGTAAGACCAGAAAGAGAGGCACGTCGCACACCCCCTCCCCCCAAAACCCCTGCACTCTGTGCTCCCCCCCCACCCCCCGCTGAGCCCCGCCCCCGCCAGGCCGGGTTTCCCCGCGGCTTAGGGCGCCCCCGGCCGCCCCCTCCGAGAGTTGCGGGAGGCGGCGCCCGCCTCAGGGGGCCCCTCTCATGCACGCTCTTTCACCAGCAAGTTTCAGGGACCCCTGGCTCGGGCCCTGTCACCCCGCAAACAATCTATGCCGAGACTACAGCCTCGCTCCGCGGGAGGATGAGTAGAAAAGCGTCGTGATCGTGAACGTGGAGTGACAGGGGCTGGAGTGCGGGGGACAGAGCGGCGGGGAGCCCGGCGCGCAGGCTGGACCCCAGGGCGCGCACATGGGAACCGGCCGCGGCAGGCAGACGCCGGCGGCGGGGAAGCCGGGGTCCGCGCGGCAGGAAGGCCCCGCCCCGATACCCGCGGGGTCCAGGGGGTCCTGGGCGGCTCTCCGTGGGCGCTCGTGCGCACTCTGGCGCCCCGCTGTCCCCCCCACCCCGGGCGGGCCCCGCAGGGCCACGGAGCGGGGCCGCCGAGCGGGAGGGCCGGGGCTCCTCGGCACAGGGTCTGCAGCGCCAGCAGGGCGGGCGGGAAGGCGGCGCCCCGCGGACCTTAGGGCTCCCGTCGGCGGCGCCCCTCCCCCCGACCCGCGCCGGGGTGCAGCGGGGAGGCTGCGGGGAGGCTGCGCTCTCCTGGGGGAGCGGGGCGGGGCCGGCGCCGGCGGGGCAGCCCTTCGGCACACGCGGCCCCTGTGGCCAGGGGAAGGCGGCGGCGTCCTCGGGAGCCTCCGGCCCCTGCCGCTGGGCGCTTCACCGTGGCCCTAACGCTGGACGCACATTAAAGAGCGCGGGGAACGGTGTGGAGGCGACCCCCCCACCCCCCGCTCCCGGGCGCCCCCTCGCGGCGTGGGGCGAGGCGCTGACCCCCATCCCTCCAGCGCTCGCGCGCCCGGTCCCACAGCCCGCAACGGCGTCCTGGCCGCTGTGTCCCTCGGAGCGATCGGAGCCACAGGAGCGTCCACCCGGGATCCGCAGGCCACAGCCGGGCACGCGAGGAGGTGAGGGGCGCCGGGAGGAGGCGGCCCCAGGGCGGGGCTGGGCGCCCGGGTCTAGCTGGAGGGCCAGGCGGCGAGGGCGAGGGCGCAGCGGCCCTGGGGCGGCCCTGGGGCTCCTGCAGACCCCGCCGGGGCCCGCGGACAGACACCAGGACCCCAGCGCATAGGTGGCCAGGGCTGCAGGCGGGGCGCGTCCGCAGAGCAGAGCCCTAGTTGAACCGCGCTCCCATCCCCCCCAAGGCCTGAGCTACAAGGCCCGGGTCCTGCACGCGGCGGGCGCGGGGTCATCAGCGCTGCCCCACCTCAGCGTCGCCAGGCCCGGACCCCGACCCCTGCGCAGCGGCAGGGACGCCTGGGTGTCGCGCGCCGGTGCGCCCCTGCCTGCCCGGACAGCCAGGCGGCCACACCACGTGGAGCACGGCCGGTGCGTGCTCCCCAGCCCAGAGGCCTGCACGGGCGGGTCCGCCCCGCTTGAGGGTGTCTGTGCACTCGGGAACCCCAGAACTTGTGGGAAAACATGAGCTGCTAACAGCCTCTCGCTCATTTCCCTCCCCCTGTTCCCACCGGCTGCTGAAGTGGTTGCGAGTCACCAGCCCGCAGAGGGTCTTCTGCTCTGACCACAGTGAGGCTGAAGCAGTGCGGAGTTCCTGTTTCTGGAACTTTCTGTCTTTATGGAAGTGTCCCAACATCTAAGCAAATTTGTTGGTCATTGTGAAATTTATCATAGAAAAAAGGAGGGCGGGAGAAGAGTCCTCTCTGGCTGACTCTATGAAGTAAGACATGATGCGAATGAGTTGGGGCCACTGGGCATTCACGTCCTGCCCTCCCCACCCCACCCAGACCTGGGGCCTGGGCTCCCTAAAATGCCTCATCATCCAAGCCTTCACCCTGCCTGGGTAGTGGCCCCTCTGCGAGGCTGAGCGCCACCTCTCTCTGCGCTGGGAAACTGAGGCGCAGCCAGGCAGGGCCTGGGGTGTCAGGGGCTGGCTGTTACTCAGCAAAGGCCCAGAGTGTGGGCTGACTCCACCCTGGGCGGTCGCGAAGCCGTGTCCCGCGTCCTCGCAGCTCAGCATCCGGGCACTGGGGGCTCCACAAGAACCTGACGGCGCTTGGGCTTCTCTGCCCCACAGGGATGGGGTCCCTCTGGGCTGGGCCGGGTCTCTGCAGCTTCACTTGCGCACTCTGATCTCTGAGTACTCACAGTCGCTGGTCTTCTGGACCTGGGGGTCCCGAGGCTTCACTCCAGAGAAGCTGATGGTCTCGTAGTGAACCTCAAGTTCCTGCCTTGAGGAGGGGGCGGCCACCGGGGGAGGATTTTCAGCAAGGGCGTCCAGCCTGGACCTCATCGGGACACCCTGTGGGAGGGACCAAGGAGGAATCATGGAGGGGCAGTGGGGGCTGGTAAGGCAGAGACGCCCCACCCACCACCCCACGTGTCCACGGATCTCCCCAGCCCCACCTCCCTGCAATAGGCTGTGCCCCGAGAGTGAGCCTCCCCACCAAAGTGAGCGCCCCACGGGCCCTTGCTGATATATCACCCCACAACCACCTCACCAGGAGGTGACCATCATCATTAAAAATGGTGACGAGGGTGGACTTCACCACGACAGACAGCAAGTAACCGAAATTCCCCAATCACCTTGTAGCTGTCTACTCCCTGTGCCCCGAGTTTCCCCCAAAGCACGTGTCTTTCATCTGTACATTTTTTGGTTTTCTAAACCTTATGTTATTGCTAACTTCGCTGAGTGCTGTACTTTCTATGCTATTTTCCATATTGCTCACTTGTGTGCTGTTTGTCTGCTGGCTTTGCTTTTATCCCTCTGCATAGAATAAACTCCAAGGAGCCCATGATTAAAAAATTGTCATGGCTCCCCAGCACTGGGCAGGGGCTCGGTGACACCTCCAGAAGGGATGAATGAATGAATGAATGAATGAATGAATGAATGAATGAATAAGTGAGTGAGTGATGCAGGTTACTCTGCTGCTGAAAACCAAGCACTGGACGCCACAATCTAAATAGAAAAGCAGACAGAGTGTGGCTTCTATCCCATAGCCTGAGGGCTGAGCAGAGTGAATATGTGAAGACAAAATGGAACTGCATTTTAGGAGGCAGGAACAGCCCATGCGAAGATGCAGAGGCACAAATAAACATGTCGAGGTTGATGACTAAAAACAGCTGGGTGCAGGGAGCGGAAACTGAGAGTGGCGCTCGGGTGAGAATTCAAAAGGTAACAGTGTGCCCCAAACCCCGCTGATTGAGATCAACAATATTGTCATGCAATATTAAATACTTAGCAGGGTCTGTATTTACGTGCCTAACAGTAGCTCTGGGATTTTATCGCCTGTGGGTACAATAAAGTATGTATTTAACAGTAAAAAAAAAAAAAAAACAATATTGTCATGCAAGGTTTTGAAAATCCATGTGTCTACACCTGAGGGGACAAATCAAATTCTATCCTCAAATTAGCAAAGACATAAGAAAATAAATAAAGAAGTTAATACCCACATCAACACAACACAAGACACAGAGCACAAAATCTCAACAATGTAATAATCCCAGATGGGTGAGCGGCCCATTTATAACTAACCAGAAACCAAGGCAGAAGGAAAATGTTATTTTTTGGTATCCAGAGACATGTTTTATGTATTTCAATGGTCAGTATTTTCCAGAAAAGTTAGACGATTGGAGCGCTATTGCAAACTTGAAAAGTGGTGTGTGTTGAAACATTCTTT